TAGAACCCAAATTTATGTGTTCATTTTTTCTTAAGCTTCATCTCTAATTCCTCATCCCTGGCACCCCACCTGAAAATTTTAAGCTTACAGAAAAGTTAACGAATGGTACAATAAAAAACCACATACTATCCATTTGGCTACTCAGACCTGGGTGTTTTGCCCCTCTGTCTTTGTTTTTCTCTTTGGTACTGGGGATTGAACCCAGGGGTGCTTTACCATTGAGATACATTCCCAACCCTTTTTATTTTATTTTTTGTTTTAAGATGGGGTCTCACTAAGTTGCTTATGACCTCAGCCTCCTAAGTCCCTGGGATTACAGGTATGTGCCACTGCACCCAGCTCATGATTTTACACACACACAGGTATACAGATTTCCCAGCTCTGTCCACTGAAAAGGGCCATAAGAAGTAACACTCCAGCAGCCATTATGCTTTCCAAGTTCTAAAACCTAACTCAAAAAGAAAAGCTAGGGTGTTTTGGAGAGATGAGTGATTCCAAAACTTGGGACAAGAGAAGTAGAAGGTAAGCCTGTAGTATGTGCTAGATGGCACGAAGCTTTAATGGGGTCATGTCAGAAGGACAACGATGGCTTGAAGGGACCCTCCCTCGCCAGGTACAGAGAGAACATAAAAATCCAACACCAGAAAGACTAATGATTACTATTAATTGTAACAAACTGAGTTAGAAAAATATTAATCCACAAGTCCATGGTGATAGTACAGTGTCTTAGGGAAGGGAAAAGGTAAAGAAACTTCTATTTAAAAAGGAATGCTAACCAATAAATGTAAATGAAATGGAAGAATCAGAAAAATCACTACTTTATAATCCCCGCTGGAGAGCCCATCAACACATGCTGAAGACCAAACGATGTAGGAGCACTGGGGGAGATGATGTGTACCAAGTACCCATGTGTCTCTTCACTTGTCTCTGGGAAATTACAGGGGCAAAAAATGGAACTTTGAAAATGAAGAAACCTGGCAATTCCCACCTGCCGGGGTGGGACACCCAGACAAAATGTGCCTCCCCAGGTGATGCACAGTATGATTGAAAGAACACCAGGAAATGTTCCATCTCAGTAACTCAAACACTTCCAGTATGCATAAAATGAAAGGATGGAAAAATGAGCTAAAGCTATGGAAAAACAATCAGATAAATGTCAAAAGTGAGACATTTTTATGAGAAATCTGTCCTAGGTTTTCAAAAAAGTATTTTGTCTCATTGTTTACAGGGAAAATCTTGGCTTCAATTATATTAGTATAAAGATACATATAAAAGTCACAAATGATAACGAATTGAGTAAAATTTGAGATTTGGTTCCCTTTTTTGTTCTTAAATATATTCCAAAACATGATAATTTAACGTTATCTGAATTTTGTTGTCAATTTTTGATATGCCAATAATTTGTTTCTGTTTATATTAGTAGGATACCCTTTGCATTTTTTAATGTTTAGCTTTGAATGTGTACATTTATATGGTTCGAAGTTAAAACTGTGTTTTAAAAAAGACATACTCCAGAGCCCTGATCTCTTTCTTTCCCTGTTCCCTATTTTCCTGTAGTGAATATCTTTATCTGTTTCTGGATCCCCACCTGCACTCCCACCCCCTGTATTTCTTTTTCTAGAAACGTGAATATTTCATGTGTATTCTCATTACCCTTTCTGCACATTTTATACACACTGTTGTATCTTTGCACTTAAGAAGTATTTCCAGGGAATATGTTTCTCAGTTCAGAGAGGTCATCACTCTTGTACAGCTCTGTCACACTCCCCTGTGGCTGCAGGACATGTGATTGGCCCAGTCATTTGGGGTGAAAAGGGCCCGGTCATAGGCTCCCTTTTCTGGTGTAGGGAAATGGAGTATTTAGGATAGATTCCCAGAAGTGGGTTGTTGGGTTGAGGGCAGGGGCACATGTAATACTGTCAGACATTAGCAAGCTCCCCTCCTCAGTGGTCCTGTTTTGCTTTCCTTAGCTTTTGATTCCACCCCACCCCCCGACCCCCGCCAAATCTGATGGTGAGAATTGGTGTCTCATGGTAGCCTTTATTTTCTCTGTCTTATGAGAGGAATTGAGCATTTCTGTTCATGTTTTCAAGGGCCATTTTTCTTCTTCTTTTCTTTTTTCTTTTTTGTCATAAGGAACCATAAGTGACTGTTTTCTAGCTGTCAGTACTCTCTACCTTAAAATAAACTGTCATTGTTGTCTGGCTCTTCTGGTGCCAAATTCTTATGCTTCATATCTTTATTGGGTGAGTTATATTTAGAGTTTTGACAAACCCTTCTTATAGTTGAATGAAATTTTACACTAGCTGTTCAAAAATAGGGACTTTAGATATAAAGTTGTTTTTTTGGCTTAAGGCATAGACTGGCACCAAAGTACCACTTTTATTCTTTCTTTTTTCTTTTTTTTGTAGATCTGTGATGAAAGGTATAGTATCACAACCTGATTTATATAATTGCTTTATATGAAAATTTAAATGTGTTGTAGAAATAGGTACAAGACACTGATAGTACGATTGGGAGGTGTCTTTTGTAATGATGTCATGACATGATTAAACTGGATTATTTTTATTCATTTATCTCTCAGTTATTAATATGACTGTCATAGCAAATTTGTTTTAAAATGAAATGGAAACATCAGCTAATTGCCTAGAAACAGCTCTGTAAGGGTTAGCTTGAAGTGGGAAGAAACAGAGGGGAATATTTAGTTTATGGGAGTAATCATGTAGAGTTTCAGAATTGTACCTGTTTGTTAAGTTGTTGTGAAGAAGCAAGCTGTCTTGTATGGCAAGTACTTAACAAATGATGTCATCCCTTATTTAGTGGTATAGGAGGGGTGAGAATATTTAAAGAGCATATGGATATTTACATGAAGATGCAGAAATTGTAAAATATTCATAATCCTCATAGCATCTGCAGGTGCTTGTAGGAAGAAGCTCAGGTAATTCATTTTGCTTAACCAGTTAAGTTGAAATTTTTTCTGTTGCCATTTAAAACAGGTTCATCTTTGGCTATGACTAGAGAAAGGTATTTCTTACTTTGTTATAGGAGCTTTGCTTCCATCCTCATTTGGATTAGCTTCTGAGAAGCCATAAAAAGCAAGAGTACAAATTGCATCAAATGTTTCCTTCTCAGGACAAGTAGTAGTAGGGACTGTTCTTGCCTTCTCAGCACCTGCAGAGGATCTGACAGATTGATTTTATAACTGACGAACACTGCATAAGAAAAAGTGTACTAGCTGAGCCGTGATCTTGGTTACACACAGGCACACTCTGACTCATTTTTGACCTCTACCTATTTTTGTTTTGAAACAAAGCTATTTTATATAAATCCAAACAATTTGGAAAATACTTTGCAATATAAAAATTTAGTTTTTCTATTAATTTCATGTCTTTTCAAAATATTAGATGACCTTAAAATATTTTTTAAAACTATCAAAAATTGGGTTTTTACATAATTTTGTAGGATTTTTTTTTAATACAAAACTTTGATCATCATCTTTTTGGTGATATTGGAGATTGAACCCAGGGCTGTACACATGCTAGGCAAGCATTCTACCACTGAGCTATGTCCTCAGTCCCTAAATGTCTTAACAGTACTTTTGTATTAAGCAAAATACTAATACTATTTTAGTTATTTTTTGTGTGTGTGTGTGCCAGCAGAGACTCTGAAGGACAGCAGTTACAGATTAGCACTATGAAATAACCCATCTCCTTGTTAATTGGCAACACCAGCTCTCCGTCAGCAAGCAGAAAGAAGCAAAACATGTCCTGGTTTTCCAAGAAAGTTTTCCTAAATATCATAAGGGAAACCTTTGACCTTTTATCAACATTTATTTACTCTAACTTTATAAACAGCTTATTAGGTCTCCTAGCTCTCATTAGATTGGCAGCAATAAAATGGTAGAATATGAAGGATGAGGTGGGATGAGTAGTGAGTGTCATGGACAGAAAGGCAGGAACCAGGAAAACTTTTGGAAAAATCCTATGATAGATTTTTGTAGGGGTAAGATTTGTAAAAATTATAATAACAAAAATAACAAACAGAATTACTCTTCCACTGTCATATTTTTTAAATTTAAAAAATAAAATAAAGAAAATGTAAAAGAGAAAAAAAAGGACATCCAATAATCTATTAACATATTTGTATTGTGTTATATTAGTATATTTGTTCATCAATTGCAACAAATGTGCCATACTAATGTAATGTGTATAATAGGGGGAACTAGATGTAGGTATATGGTAATGATATTCTCTTCTCTGTAAATCTAAACCTGTTATAAAAAATAAAATCTACTTAATAAGAAATTTAAAAAAAAATTACTCTTCCCAGGTTCTTAACACTTTGGAATTTACCCCCTTGCTTTCTGTCTTTTGACACGCTAAACTATTAGTTCTATCTATTAATGGGTTTAAATCAACAATCAGTGTGTGGATTATTTACTGAAATTGCGTATTTTAAAACATTTTGTATCATATTTGGCACAAATCAACTACTCAAAAAAGCAGTCTTTACTTGAATCTTACAATGGTGTCTCCTTAGTGAAACACTATAGACTGTACTTATGGTGTTTTGTTCTTTTTTATAGTCTGTCTGCAGAAGTGCAATGTTCAAATACAAAAAACTCTGAAAACTGCAAGTTTGTTACAAACTCTTGGTCCTAAACTCACCTAAATTGATAACACAGAGTTTTCCCCCTACTTTGTGCTTTATTTGGTATTTTGCTGTTTTGCTTAAAAATATAGAGGTTTGATAGTGGGGTACTGCCCCAGACCAGCTGAAGGAATTATATGTATGCCCACTCTTTTATCTAAATCTGAAAAATTCCAAATTCTAAGATGTCTGACTCAAGAGATTCAGTACTCTTGGCATTTAACATATGTTTTGAAAAGGAAAATTCCCTGTCTTCTTATTTAATAAGGAGACATTGCATGTTCATTGCCATAGAAATGTTGCTTGAGCTAAGAAATCTCAGTCATGGTTTTCTCTTTCCCCCCTCACAGCAAAATGAGAAGGCGAGCCTGTTGAAGGAGAGAGACCACATTTTGTCCACTCTGGGTGAGACAAAGCAGAACCTGACTGGGCTTTGCCAGAAAGTCTGTAAAGAAGCAGCTCTGAGTCATGAGCAAATACAGATCCTCGCCAAGTACTCTGCTTCCGATTGCCCACTTTCGTTTTTAATTTCTGAAAAAGGAAAAAGTACTCCTGATGGGGAACCCTCGGTACCATCAATTTTCAGTCTCTCTGATGGGCCTCCAGCTGCGCTGCCTCCTGATGGGAGAAGAAGCAGTGAGGCCGGCTACATCCGGGGGCAGGAGTCCATTTCCAGTGCAGCCTCCGATCCAGCCGGGCAGGTGGAGCAGAGGCAGAGTGGTGGGATCTCCGACTTCTGTCAGCAGATGACTGATAAATGTACTACTGATGAGTAAACTTGGACTCCCTTCCTCCAGCCCCGCAGATTTTCTACTGAAGTTTGGCATTGTCTTGAAAGCCTAGTAAGGCCATCCCTTACTTATCAATATTGTGTTTTCCCCTCCTAGCTTTCTGTTCAGGAAATTTCTCTCCAGTCAACCCTGATTTCGCCTTGATTTCCACAAGACACAGAAATGATTTGTTTTCCAGATACTGAAAAATCACATGTGGAAATCTGATTTATTTTGTGTGTGTGGCAGTGCTGGGGATTGAGCCCAGGGCCTTGTGCATGCGAGGCAAGCACTCTACCAACTGAGCTACATCCCCAGCCCTAATACTTGCATTTTAAAGAATAAAATAATTTCCCAGTATTCAAAATGACCATGAGAATGAAAACTGCAGAATGTCAAACAGTCTAACAGCTTGAAACATTTCCAGATAGCTCCTACTGAAGAAGCGGCCTGCAGAAGTTTAAAAATTGACCTTTTTGCAATGTACTGGTTTAAAGAAAATATCTCCCCAAGCATTGCTAATAAGAGTTCCAGTCTACACAGCAGGTGGGTGTCAGCATGGGGAATGTTTGTGCAGAGCTGCAGTGTGAAAAGTAAGTCTTCTTGCTGAATCCCAGAACTTTCCCCTGCAGCCTCTGCCAGAACCAGGAGACTCCTAGGGAGGATCTAGGAGCAGGCAAGGGTTGACCCAAGGCAGGGGCTTCTGCTCCTCTTTGTTATTATTGACTATAGAATTTCTGGCTGCACTGCAGTAGTAGATAAGTATCATTTTCCCTCTTTTCCCCTCTTCAGTATCTTCTCCATCTGAGCTCATTATGAAATTTCTGTTTCCTGATGTTCTTGCCCCGTGCCAGGAGAGTCGGGATTCAGGATGTCATCACCTGAGTGTGTGTACTGGCAGCCTGATCTGGGATCCAGGGGAGCTTGCCAAAATAGAAGACTGTTCACTTTTCTGCCCTAAGTCACGTATGCCAGGAAAGCAGGCATGGCAGTAGGTTGGGGATTACCTACACTTACCAGGAGTGCAATTCATTTTTCATGCTATTTTTAAAGTCCTATGGTATACTTCTAAAAAGCATTATTTTAGTTAACAGTGTATCTATAACTCTGCAGGTTTGTGAAAAAGGATGAAACTTAATCTTGTTTGTTTATGGGTTTGCATTTGGGAACCAGATTTATTTCTATTTTCTTTCCCTATTTTGATGCTGCATAAAGGCACACAGATCATTTGTCTTTAAAAATCAGTCTTTGTCTTTATTTGATCCTATCATAAAATGTATTTACAATCTGAGTAACTATCCCATAACATTTTGCAGTAATGCTTAAACCATTCTGGGATTGCAGATTTGGAAGTCAGATGCAAGGTATAGACCTCAACAATTAAAAAAGAAAATATACAGGGTTAGCATCCTTAATTGAAAATCCAAAATGCTCCCAAATCTGAAACTTTTTGAATGTTGACATGATACCATAGCAAAAAATTCCATACCTGATCTCATGTACAGGTAGCGCTCAAACATGAGCACACACAACAAAATTTGAAGTAACTGTAGGCTGTGGTGTATATGAAACAAATCAATTTTGTGTTTAGACTCAGATCCTGTCCCCAGGATATCTCATTTTTTACATATATAAATTTTTTTTCCAAAAAAAAAATCTGAAATCTGACACAATCTGGTCCCAGGCATTTCAGATAATGTATTCACATTTGCAGAAATATGAGGCTGCTGAAGACAAATGGAACCCAGTTTCCAAGGGTACAAAGTAGTTTATTTGGAATAGAAAGTACTTTATTTCATCTAGTCAGATGTCTTGAAAGTGACACTTCTCTAGACTGCACCTTCAGTGAAGGGCCCGGGTAGCTTACAGGGGAGATGACCACCCACTGTGTGTGCATGATTTGGAAGCAAGTAGGGTATTGCCTTGAGAGAATATGGGGACCAGTCTCAGTATTTCAGAGTAATTTGTTGAACATTACTCTTGTTCGTGGGGTTGCGGGGGGAGGGGGCCTTGGAGCAGATATCACTAGTCTCTCTTCAGTGTTGTTATGTTCTCTCTGTTATTGACTTGGAAGAGAAAATTAGTTGGGATTGTTTTCTGGAGGCTTTCAGAAGTACACTCAACTTGTCAGGGAGAATGGCCGTTCTATAATGCATCCTGTCCCATGAAAGAATTGTGCCCCATGTAGCTATTTCTTTGATATCTGTAATTTTAAATTTCAACTTCACATATAAAATAATATAAAAACTTTTCTGGTTTACAAAGTGTAAAGTCTTATACAAGCCAGTGGAATCCTTGATTTCCTACCTCATTGTACACTCAGCTGTCTGTCCCTCAGTTTTTGCAAATGTTAAATAATCTTTTTTTTTTTTTTTTTAATTTTTTATTGTTGGCTGTTTGCAAATGTTAAATAATCTTTTGCTTTAATTGCAACTGTATATATTTGCTTTGAAAAGTTACTGTTTTATGATAAAACCTAGTTGTCTTCACAGTTTAAATATAAATTTTAAGGCACTTGGTTTAAATTTCTCTCTACCTATGAAGTTTAGCATTAAGGATTTATTTTAATGGTATCTGATAATTGGCCAAGTGTAATATTTCTTAAATTTAGCATAACTTTTAATAGCCAGCATGTAATACAATAACTACACTACCTCATACCTACATGATTTTCAAGTTGTATTATAGATGGACAGGAAAGATTTTAATCTTTGTCTTTTGGCCATAAGGTGGGGAAGTTTTCTATATATTGCATAGCATTACACATTTATGCCTACTCTGACGTTAACTTCTAAAGAAGTTTTTTCTAAGAAAATTTGTTTCAAGGCAATTTTTTTTGAGGCTGCCGAAGACAAATGATAGGATTATGTGTATACAGTGTATGCCTTTTCCTTCATGCAAAATTTTGAAAATGTCATTTTCAGTTTGTATATTGCATATTTACATGATCATTGTTCCTTATTTTATGAACCGGCCTTCTCAGTGCTTGATGATTTTTTTTTAAAGCTCAGTAAAATCATATTACCTTAAAATTTTTCTTATTTCAATAGTTATAACGAATAATTTGTTAAATTGTTATATTCGAAACAATTGTGGATATAAACTTGGTTCTCCATCTGTAAGTTTTATAACAGTTTCACTTAATGCTTAATCAGTTTTAAGTAAGGAATTAAAAGTATTTGATGCAGTAGACAATATAGATTGCATGTGGACATTCAGCCACGTTAACAACTTGGAAAAACAAATGGCAATGTTATAAAGAATTCTCAGGTGAACTTTTTTCAGTTACGAAGCATCTATTTTGAACTTGTAAATATTTTAAATGTTTTATTAAGGCATGTAATAAACTATTCTTTGAAACCGGTTGGATAGCATAAAAATTTAAAGCCATATGGTAAAAGATGGCATACTGATTGTAAAATAAACAGAAATAATAACATTGTTGATTTTTTTTGTATCTTTCATAATTTTCTAACAATGCAATAAAACCACTAGACTTTTATCCATATCCTATTAAAACCATGTTTCATTAAGAGTACACTTTCATAGTATTTAATTTACATTTTCTTCTTAAGGTGTTTATCTAAATGTAGTAAAACTATAAATAATGTTCATGAAAAATTAACCATAAAATAAAATTCTCTAAAATCACTTTTAGTTGAATAGAGTTGTACATTCCATTCTGTTTTCTCACCTTTCCTGTCATTTTACTAATTTGGATCTTTTGATTGGTAATCAGAAGTATAAGACTGTCATTGATAGGAGAGAAATTTTCATTAGTTGATTATCACACCTGAAAAAGATATTCCCAGGACTCAGGTGTTTTAGGAAGTCCAGATTTGAGTCTTGCATCAGATTAACTGGATTTCTGTCTTTGAGTGATGGGCCTTTACAGGGTTTTATCTCCATCACTCAATGATTTTTAAACACAACCCACTGAGTCAGTAATCCTGTTAGATTCAGTTTCTAACAGGGCCCAGTGTTTTGTCATGGTCTTCTGGTCTAGTAATAGCAGCTCTGAAGGGGGAGAATTTACCATCAGAGGTCTGGGTGCTACCAAACATCCCATGATCCACTGGGGGTGCTGATGTTGAGCAACCCTGACATATTGATGGAATCAGGATGGCATGTCAGTAAACAGTCAAGTGAGGCCGTGTGATGGCTCCAAGAATTTGGAGAGGAGGGAATAAGACACATGGGATTTCACCAAGCTTTGAAAGGGAGTTCAGTCTGAATAGAGAGAAGGATGGTCTCTGGACAAAGGCGGGCCTGGAACAAACCTGGAGTGTACCTGGGCCATGAGAGGCTCAATCTAGACGAAGACTTTGAGGGCAGCCGTCCTTAACCAGTGTGCATCTTGCATGTTGCCTTGCACCCTGGAATTGAGTTACCAGCAGCCTGAGGTCAGACTGGAAGGGTGTTAAGAACAACAGAAGTGCTAAGTAGTAGGTGTTAAGATTTTTGAGGAAGGCCAATAAATAGCATTCTTTTCCCAGTTAGGGTTTTAAACTTTTGCAGATTCAGGACAGAATGGAACCATGGCTTTCTAGCTTTTAGCTCCGTGATTTTCCAGGAGAGAATTCTGGAGTTAGGCAGACCTACCCATCTACCAGTCACCCCAGCCCATCCTCAGGTGCAGCGCCCTGTGGCAGCAATAACATGTTCTCTCTACAGGAAGGCAATGGAGACCAGGATGCGTGGAGCTGAGTAGGCTTAGAGCCTCTGAGGAAGGGATACAGAGGTCTGGAGGGTGTTCAAGGGAATGCTTTTTCTGAAGACCTGGCTTAGGGAAGTGTGTTCCTGTTAACATTCTCCAGTTTTCTGGTAGCATTGGACTTAACCATTGTCCCACTGGACTTAACCATTGCTCAACAGGCCATTTAGCCCTTCGAGGATGCTTCCCAAGACCAGCCTTGGCTACCACTTCCTGGGGTTGTAGTGGATGGTAGATAGTTGTTCTCTCAGAATGCTCTGGAACAAACACTGCACAGAGAATCGTGTGTGTCCATCATTAATGCTGAATTACTTTGAGTCTTTGGGATCCAGAAGGCTCTGGAACAAATTTAAAACTTATTTACTTACTAAGTAAATAAGTTCAAAGACCACTATATACCAGTGGGTGAGAATTAACTCCCTCCTACACTTCCCATCCCTAATTCCCTGCGTCACTGTCCATTGTCACTGTCCCTGCCTCAGTGTCCATTGTCACATATCAGAGAGGTATTACGCATTGAGATTAAATCCCAATGCAGAAAGATTTCCATAAGAAAGTGCATGAAAGGTTGTCTGATAATAGTGATATACCAAATTTGAAATGGAATCCCCTTCTTTTATTCAACTTTTTTTTTTTTTTTAAATCCAGGGGTACTTAACCACTGAGCCATACGTCCAGCCCTTTAATTTTTTATTTTGAGACAGGGTCTCACTAGGTTGCTTACAACCTTGATAAGTTGCTGAGGCTGGCTTCGAACCTGTGATTCTTCTGCCTCGGCTTCTTGAGCCACTGGGATTACAGGAGTATACCACCAAACACTGGTTCCCTTTTATTCAACTTTTAGGGGTGGAAAAATATAGAAGAAGCTCAAAAATTTTTAAGATTTGAAGACGTTAAAGGAATTAAATAACTAAATTATCTTGCCCACATGAGTTCAAAGTTCAAACACTTCATGAAAAACATATGTAAAAACTACTCTACTAAATGTCTCATTTGGTTAGTCTCAGCCAGGAAGTTCTGATGCCTAGGTGAGGTTGAGGCTCTTTTGGAAGCTGGAGGTGCAGTTGTCTCTGGCAGGTGCTTCCTGCAGGGCTCCAGGAGGACAATGTTCAAGGCTGGCTGATGAGCTCACCTTTCAGAGTAGGAAGAGTTATCATAAGTTATCACAGTCTTGGCCTCACAACCACACTTGTTTTGAAATGAGCCAGTTTTCAGGCTTTATATCTGTTATCGCAGACATATGAAATATAATCCTCTGACTTAGAGCTACCAGGAGGCTCTGAAATGGATCCAACCAAATCCCGATAAGTAAATTTAAGGGCTACTCTGAATCAAAAACTGAAAATTAGCTCTGTCTTAAATTTCCCATCCCTAATTCAAAGGATGAAAACTCAGTGGTATACAGGGATACAACAACTGAAGATCTTGTTTTCTGAGAGATCCTCGTATCCTGGGACTCACAACCTCTCCTTAGTCTGCATTGGGACAACTCTCAGGACTTCATTCTGGTCTCACCATTGCATGTTGCCTTAATTGACATTTCTTCTGCCAGCTAGGTACTTCTGGCCCCCTAACTAACTGAGGTCTCCCTGAGGAGCTCCAAGCCCACCTTCCCATGTATGGGCACTGTCAGACCTGATGGGTTTTGTAGGCCTAATAGAGTTGCCTTCTGGGGATGGCTTCTCTCTGTGGATTTAAGTGATCCAAATTCAACTATGGATGAGCCCCATGGAGCCAGTGCTGATGCCTCTACCCTTCCCTCTTTGAGTCTGAATGCTCAGTGGGATTTGGGGCTCACTGGTGGGGTGCCACTAGTTGAAAGCTTGAACCCTCCAAGCACTCTGTAGTACACTGGAACCCAGCCACCCTGAAAGCAGTCGAAAAGCAGCACGTTTTACTTAATACACCCCCACCCCCAACTGTAGCAGTGGCACCTTGAGCTCCTTCCCCTACCTAGGGTCACTGCCACTGGGTTCATTGTCCCTTGTAGAGCCATGGAGCTGATGGTGTTAGGACACCCACAGGCCACTGTCCATAATTTATGCCACATTATATTCACTTTTAAAGGCCTCTTGCTCCATTGGAGTGGGGGAGGGGGAAATATCTGTCAATTGGTCTCAAAGATCATAGGTAGTAGATTCCAAAAAGAAAGCATTGACTGACAGGCCTCAGGGAAGCCCATACAAGGATATTCTCCATGTATTTTCCTTCCCTCAGATAGCCACAGAGTGTCTTCCATGGCTCTGTCTGGGATAACTGCTCTAATGGCTGGGGATTGGCTTGCTTTGAAAGCAGTTGGCACAAATACTGCACAGAGTAATCGTGTGTGTCCATCATTAATGCTGAGTCACTTTGAGTTCTTGGAATCCAATGGTACACTCTGTACCCAAGGGAATCACACCATTCCTGTGAGAGGTGACCTGCTTCTCTGGTGGGGGTTGGGTGCCTTTTGCTTAGACATGGCCAGTTGGCTTTTCTGAGGTCCATGGAGAACAGTTGGGACTCCACAGAAAGTTGCATTCTGAAAGTAAAGCGTCATCCTCCACAGTGACCCTCCAGATGGAAAATGTGGACAGGTTGGTCTATGACCTCTCACCCAGACCAATTTCACTGTTGTGAAGACCCACTGCTCACTACAAGTCTCCATGACACACCATGGCTGACAATTCATGGATGTGCTACCTCTCAAGTTCTATTCTGATTTAAGTCTCTGAACAATGCCCTCAAGTGTTGGGTTTCCAAAAGCTTCATTCATATTCCTAGATGAACATTCCATATTCCGTAGATGAACAACTAGAGAAATACAGGAAATTGGTGGAAAACCAAAATAAAACCTCAGTTGCTAATGAGGAATAGTTTAGAGTAACAGCCTAGAGGCAAACTCCAGAATTAGGCAAATTGATCTTATCAGTTTGCTTCCTACTTTTGGAAGGAAGTAAGCTTTTTCCCACCCCTGCTTTCCATGAAGAGAGATTTTCCTCTAAGCTGCACAGCACTGCTTATACTGACTGCACCTACCCTCAGCAATGGGGCGTGGGGGTATGCAGGAGCAGAGAGCAGCTGGTGCTATTTGGAGATAGTCATATACCAAGAGAAAGAATGTGCTGGGCAGAAAACCATCAGTTATTCTCCCCAGATTTATCAGTAAGCCAGGGAACTGTACCTCTTCAGGGGAGGAGTGAAAAGAAGTTAAGGGATGCTGTCCTTCCACAGCACAAGGGGGAATGTGAGGAGGAGTATGGTGGAGGCAGTGAGTCTGGGGGCTTTGAGACTTTTTCAAGAGACTCAGCAGGATAACCCCAAAGAAAGTCTTGCCCTTCCATCTTCTCACTCCATCTCTAGAAGGAACAGAGGTTCAGGTCTAAAAGCAAAGCATTGCCTTGTGCAAACACTTTGCCTCCTGTCCCTATCTCTGTTATCTGTATTGTCCATCAAGTGTAAATAAAAAATCATGAACAAGATTTTAGAAACTGAAATCCCTCTTTAATTTACATAGCCATGTTTTCTGCAGTTACTGTTTTCCTTCTCAGCATTTATTTTACATTTTATCACCATCCCCCAAATTATTTCCTAAACAGTTAATTTCCCTCTTTCAGGAGACTGGACCTAAATAATACTCTAAGTACATTTTTTGATATGCAAGTTTCTGATATGACATTCTTCTCATACAAAGAAATCCTGTTAATCATACCCACAATAAAATTAAATATTAAAATATCTAGTAGAATTTAATCTTTCTAAAGAAATGCCCCTTTGGTCCACTTAAGAAACTCGCAGAATTTTTCTTTGACTGA